GATTTTTCCAGTAGTAATTGCACTTCTCCAGCAAAGCTCCAGCGTGTGTGGATGGAAGGCTCASCATTTTCTCCCCATGCCCATTCGCAAGCAGGGCCATCAGGCAGGATTTGATGCCAACCTGCTGCCCCRGGATGCTGGGACAACTTGGAGAGGGCTGGAGAGCTGTGCTGTGCTGCACTCACTCTGCAATTTGTCTTATTCTCCCCCAAATTCACGGCTGCAGTGCYCGGTGAGAGCCGGGGCGGTCTGTGCCATCCGGGCACTCACAGGCTCCCACTTTCCCTCTGCTTCTGCAGGATCCCACCTCGGTGCTGGGACTAAATCCCACCTGTGGTTGAGCATCTCATGACGTTCCCCCTCTAAACACAGCAACGCAGCTGGGGACATTTTGGAGATGCRGAAAGCGGAGAAGTGCTGACGTCTCTGGGAAATCACTGTGATGTGCAGGGCTGGAACAGGAACCCGTGGCCACGTTGGGGAGGCTGAAGGGAGAGGGCGAGAGGGCTGCCCAGGGAGCGGGAGCTGCTCCTGCATCCCTCCTGCATCCCTCCCGCATCCCTCCTGCATCCCTGCTGTATTGCACCTGCAACTCTACTGTAACCTTTGTGCATTGCTCCTGCATCCTTCTTGCATTGCGCCTGCATCCCTCCCACATCCCTCCCGCATCCCTACTGCATCCCTACTGCATTGCTCCTGTATCCTTCTTGCATTGCGCCTGCATCCCTCCTGCACTGCACCTTCATCCCTACCATAACCTTCCTGCATCCCTCCCRCATCCCTCCTGCATCCTTCCTGTATCCCTACTGTACTGTTCCTGTATCCTTCTTGCATTGTGCCTGCATCCCTCCTGCATCCCTCCCGCATCCCTCCTGCATCCCTACTGCATTGTTCCTGCATCCTTCTTGCATTGCGTCTGCATCCCTCTGCATTGTTCCTGCATCCCTCCTGCATTGTTCCTGCATTGCACCTGCAAACCTACTGTAACCTTCCTGCATCCCTTCTGCATCCCTCCCGCATCCTTCCTGCTTCTCTCTGCCATTCCAGGAGCCCCAGAAGGGACTGGTCACCCAGTTAAGGTCTCCCGCTCCCAAATGCACCTTTTCCCTCTCTCTCCTCCAGCATCACAGCCCTCGGACGGGTTTTGCAGCGTCAGCCTCGTGGTTTGGGGCTGCTGGGCAGCSGCCAGCGCAGGAAGGAGCCCTTTGCGCTGCAGGATGGAACAAACGCGCCGGCTTTCGGGCTGYCTTTGGATGTTCTAATGGCTCTTTCCTTAATTAACAAACAGGATCTAAATAACAGGGGGGAAGGTCAAACCCGGGTGTTTATTGGAGAGCTCGGGGCTCCCTCGGGGGGCCGCTTTGCCGGGGCGATGCCRTGGGGCAGGGGCCCCCAAGGGCCGGGATCCCTGGGCGCAGGGGCTGGCTCAGCCCCGCGCTCCGCAGYGCTCCGAGGAAGCGGTTAAACCGGGTTTAAAAAAAAAAAAAAAAAGCGGCTAATTCCCCCATGGATTTGCTCATCYGGAGGAACCTCCAGGGAGCGCGGTGCAAATCCCGCCGTGATCCAGGTGTCCAATGCTGATTCCCAATCCCGGCCGGTTGGAGACTACCGCTTGCAAGCGGAGCTCCTGCCTATGGAGCACGGGTGCTGCTGCACAGGGCAGGGATGTATCCCACAAAAAATTCCCCCTATCCAAAAACACTTTATTTTCACGCTGATGCCACTTGCTGCCAAACTCAACCCTGCACCCGGCATCATCCCAGTGCTCMATATGACAAATATACCTCCGTATTTATTCATGCATCTAAATATAYAAGGGGAATATATCCCCCTGCAAGGCAAGGAAGAGGATTTATTGGCGCGGCAGCRCTCCAGACTTGTTAGCTCTTCTCCCAAACACCTCCCAGCTCTTCCCGGGGACACGGCGGGCACTTGGGGACGAGGAAGCTCCTTCTTTTGGAGCTTTATAGAGGCATATTTCCAATTGCATCCTTGCTCGCCGTGTTGCTTCCGATGCCGCCGGTAATTACTCGGGAGCAGGGCCCCCGTCGCCTCCTCCCTCTCGGCGCAGACACTCTTTAATATCGTTTCCCGGAGCTGAGTTGTAAATTTGCGACTTAATCCCGCCGGAGGCCACGCGCCGGCTGCCAGCGGAGCAGCGTGATTCACGTTTCCCAGCTCCAGCATCAATTTATAGTAAGAATAATAATAATAATAATAAAAAGGCAAAGTAATACCTTAATTCTTTCCAGTAAGAAGAAGGAAAAAAAAGATTTTCGAGGAAGCTGCGCTGTGCTCATGGATATTTTATGAACAGAAAAAGTGCTAAGTTCAGTGAAGAATTTATTTCTGGGCAAAGCAGCCGCTTGGCTTGGAAAGAACTTGTCAGGAGTGAGCGCAGCCGGAGCTGCCGGTGCAGGGATGAGCCCCATGGAGCCAGGGACAGGGATGAGCCCCATGGAGCCAGGGACAGGGATGAGCCCCATGGAGCGAGGGACAGGGATGAGCATCATGGGGATGAGCCCCATGGGGCTCATGCAGCCACCACAGGGGACCCGGAGCGCGGCTTTGCTCCGGCTGGACCGGAGCAGCTCCTGCAGCCAGGAAATGCCTCCGTGCTGGGATGGGGACTGGCCAGGGTCCTGCCACATGCAGCTGTCCCCGTTGGCTTCTTCCTTGTCACTTCCCATGCACAGGAAAGCAGGATTGGTGTGAATCCCATGCCCGGGAAAGCTGGATTGCTGTGCTACCCATGCCSAGGAAAGCTGGACCATTGTGGTTCCCATGCCCAGGAATGCCGGATAGCTGCAGTTCCCAAGCCTGGGAAACCTGGACCTCTGCAGTTCCCGTGCCCGGACATTTTCCCTGGTGTTCCCCCTGGCCATGGCCATGCATCACGCCTGGAAGAAAGGGAATTTCCTYGGCCTGGTCTCAACGTGGTGCCAAGAGAAGGGGCCCTGCGCTCCAGCGGCCGGGACGCGCGGGAGCTGCCGCCCTGCGCGGCCGCCCCGGCTGCCTCCCCCGCGCGATGCTCCTTTGTCATTATCGTTATTATCGCTTTTGATCCTGCCAGCAACATCYCAAAATAGCCGGAGCTCAGAGCTGGGGGCAGGGCTGCCCGTTYGCATGCAAAGGAGCCCTTCCCACAGCTGCTCCGCGCTTCCCTGGGAGCTGCTGGAGCCTTGGAGAGGAACAGGGAGCACAGGGAGCACAGGGATCTCCAGCCATCCCAGACCACCAAACCCTGCATTTTGGGAGCCAAACTCTATTTTTCCCAAGGGATCCACAAGCGAATCTTGCCTCTAGGATGTCCCTTGTCCCCATCCTCACCCGTGCCCATCCAAGCTCCAGCTTTGTCACCTTTCTCCCCAAATCCGCAGCCAATTCAGCATCCCACTGAGCCCCCGCTGGCTCCTTTCTCCCCAAGTATTTGACTTCTGCTGCTGATAGAGACACCGCCTCCACTCAGCTCTGCTCGGTGTCCTCAGTAATAACCAGTAATAATCCCTGTTATCTGCTCTCCAGGATCGGTGCTGGAGTGGGTCCGGGCTCCCATCCCGGCCCCGTCTCCCAACGCAGCAAACGCGGGAGCTGCAGTGGGAAACCAGCCCGACGCCATCTGCTCGGCTTGGGAATCACGAATGCCGAGAGGAAGCCGCTAGTTTGTAATTAATCATCAAAAAAAAAAAAAAAAAAAAAAGAAAAAAAGCTCTGATTTAGTGATTTACTGAACGCACGTGCGCCCCTTTTGTTTGGGTTTCCCATGTATTAGAGGTGAAGAAAAGGATGTGCTGGTTGGCATGACCCTGCATGCAAGGAAGCAGGTTTACAAGCAGGCGTGTATGTGCATGTGTAAGGAAGAGTGTACAGAAGCGCATGCACCTCTGCAGCGTGCACATATATGTAYGTGCATGCACATGTCCGTACAGACATGTGTCCATACGCATGCAAGTGCACCTCGTGCAAGCATGGTGAGATGAATGTGTATGCATGTGTGTGTGCRTGTGATGCATGCATCAGTGTGCATGTGCCTGCAAGTGCGCAGGGTGCATGCACACGCATGCACGTGCCTGCAGGTGTGTGGGCTGTACACACAGGAGTGCATGTGCATGCAGGTGTGCACAGCCCATGCACAGGAGTTCATGTACATGCAGGTGTGTATGGAGCATGCACAGGAGTGCACGTGCATGCGGGTGTGCACACTGCTTGCACAGCAATGCAYGWGCATGCAAGTGTGCAGGGTGCATGCACAGATCTGCATGCAGGTATGCATGCTATTCACACACACGTGCATGTGGGTGTTCATGTTGCTTGCACACACCTGCGCGTGCACGCAGGCGTGCAGGTTGCATGCACCTGCATGCGGGTGTGCACGCTGCTTGCACAGCAATGCATGTGCATGCAAGTGTGCAGGGGGCATGCACAGATGGGCATGCGGGCATGCACGCTGCTCGCACACAGGTGCATGTGGGTGTGCATGCTGCTTGCACATGCGTGCACATGCACGCGGGTGTACAGGCTGCATGTACGCATGTGCATGTGCATGTGCATGTGCATGCGGTGTGCACGCTGCTTGCACAGCAATGCACGTGCATGCAAGTGTGCAGGGTGCACGCGCAGATCTGCATGCGGGCATGCACGCTGCTTGCATACGTGCATGTGGGTGTGCATGCTGCTTSCACACGYGTGCACGCGCGTGTGCAGGGTGCACGCGCAGCCCCGCGCGCACTCGCCGTGCTTGCGCGCGTGCACGTGCGCGTGCCCGGCCGTGCACGTGCCCGGSGCGTGCGCCTCGCCGCGCATGCGCACACGAGCGCGCGCAGGTGCCGGCAGGTGCGCGCATGCGCGTGGCGTTACCGCGGAACCCCCCCGCCTCCCGCGGCACCAAGGGGCGAGGGCGGTGCCTCCTTCACCTTCCCGGAAGTGCCGCGCCTCACTTCCGGCCGCGCGGGCCGCCTGGGTAGCCCCGCCCCGCACGGCCGTGAGGCGACTTCCGGCGGCGCCTCCCCCGTTCGCCTCGTCCCGCCGCCGCCATCGCCGCCGCCGCCATGAACAAGAAGAAGAAGCCGTTCCTGGGCATGCCCGCGCCCCTGGGCTACGTGCCGGGGCTGGGCCGCGGGTGAGGCCCCGCGCGGCGGCCGCGACCCCCGCGGGCCGCCTCGCTCCCGGCCCCGCCATGGCCGCCCCGTCCCGGCGCCGCGGTTGGGCCCCGGGGGCGGCGGGCTGAGCCGGTGCTGGCGGGAGCCGCTCTGTACGCGGTGCTGCTGAGTTTTCAGCCCGGTTTCCCTCTCCTTGTAGCTCGTGTCCGCCCGTCCCGGTTCAGACCGGTGCATTGGGGTCTATGGATCCTATAGGCTGGGCCCTGGGGAGCGCTGGTGAATTTGGGGCTCTTGAGCTGCTCCTGCCTCGGTTTTGGGCGCCTTGCAGCCCCCATTGCCTTTCCTGCTGCATCCTGGTGATAGATTTAAAAGGGAGCACGGCCCGGGTGCGAGAGCATGGAAGATTCCAATAGTCCCGTAAATAAAGTTATCTTCTCCAGAGGATAGTTGTTCCCGATGGGCTTTGTGCCCCTGTTGGTTCATAGAACTCAAGGGGCGAGGATGGGGTGACTCCGTCCCTGCCCATGAAATGATTTTTATTTATCATCATATTCTAAGTACTTGGAGCAGCCTCTGTGGGTATCACCTCATTCTAAATAGCGGTCGCTGCTTTGTCCGCGCAGAGCCACAGGTTTCACCACCCGCTCCGATATCGGCCCCGCGCGCGATGCCAACGACCCCGTGGACGACCGACATGCGCCGCCGGGCAAGAGAACCGTGGGCGATCAGATGAAGAAGAACCAGACGGCTGATGACGACGACGAAGACCTGAACGACACCAATTACGACGAGGTGACCGGTTAATCATCCTTCGGGTGTTTGTCCCTTAGTGGAAGAGGAGCCCGATACCTCTTTGCTCTCTGGCTGTGGAGCCCTGAATTAGCTGAAAGCACAAGGCCAGAATTTCCTCTTGTCAAACAACAGCACTTCCTTTTCTATTTTTCCTTTTTATTGGGATCCCAGTATACATAGTGACGTAATACCTGCAGATTTTTGGCCTTCATCCATATATTATGGTTTAATTATATATACAGAGCACTGAGAGTCTTGGGAAGAAATCCATAAATACAGTATTAGTCTGTGTACTTTGTGGGATGCATCTTTTATGCTCCTGCAGAAATGAAATCTAAGCTTTTGTGCCTTGACCAACGTCTCTGTTTATRTGGTCTGTGTAGTCTCTTGTGTTTAAATCCCTCATTGGTTTGTTAACTATTTTGTTGCTCTTCTCAGTAATGGAAGAAAATGGGATTTTTTTTATAAACTGGGATCCTGTTTATTGTGTAGTGGAAAGTTTTGCTGTTAGARTGATGTGGGAGAATAAAACACTTGTGGTAGAGAAAAATTGTTAAGGAATGGTCTAGTGTGATGCAGCGTTAAAATAAATAGTGGGCTCGTGTGTTTTCTGCGTTCTGCATGGCTGTTGTCTGTGCTTGGTACATGAAAAGAGCTCTAAACTGAGGATTTGGGGTTTTATTTGTGTTATTCTTAGTTCAATGGATACGCGGGGAGCCTGTTCTCAAGCGGTCCCTATGAAAAAGACGATGAGGAAGCAGATGCTATTTATGCAGCTTTGGATAAAAGGATGGATGAACGGAGGAAAGAAAGAAGGTAGGATTACTTCCAGCCCTGGCAAGAAGTGTTTATGAATTAGTCTGTGTTTCTTAGTTACTCTGTTTCAGAGTTTGCTTCTAGTTCCATTTTTCAGCTCACGCTTTGTCCTTATCTACTGAATATATTTTCAGAAGCATTTGCTGTTTTTATTTGTTTTAATGCATTACTGTAGGCACTGCTGCTGTAGAAACCATGGGTATTTGACACAGCTTAACCTGGTCTTAGTGCTCATTACCCGTTTTCCTCAGTGGTAGATTCGGTTGGATTGCTTTGTTGTAATTAATTAGGAAGATGCTGAGCTAATGTTTCTGACAGAACGCACGGCATGCTGGAATTTGCTGTGCAAGTCATCTAGTACAAATGTCTTGTAAACCAGTGAGTGCCATTTAAAAAGGTTTATTACTTGGACTGCAGGTAAGTGGAGGTTAAAGAGTGAAGTTCATTTTGTTACAAATGTTTGTTTTCACACTATACTGTTGTCTTATTTGATACGTAATTTGCCATCATGATGATGATAGTATAAACTTGAGATAATATGTGTATTTTTAATACCTTCTCATCGAACACATTTTTTACAGTAGCAGCACTTTGTTTAAAGACTTGCACAGTGTTAACTTGAGCATAACTTCAGTATTCCTTTTCCTAAGGGAACAACGAGAGAAAGAGGAGATAGAAAAATACCGTATGGAACGGCCCAAAATTCAGCAGCAGTTCTCAGACTTGAAAGTAAGGACTGAGTATCTTCTGGCTTTATGTGAGATGGATGCACAGTCTGCATTTATTTGTGCAGATCTTCTTTGTTAGATAGCAAATAGCTTGTTGTTCTTCAGATTAAAACTTTTTTTTCTGTTTGGAAAAAAAGATGTTCTTAGTTTCAATCAATCTCAAGTATCACAACATAGTTTTAGTCAACACTTGTAGCTAGTATAGTTGATGGTCTTCATTTAATTAACGAGTTAATGGATTTTGCAGTAAATAATAAAGCAATATTGTGTTTATCTGTACTCGTATTCAAAATTGTGTTCAGAGTTGATAGAAGTAGATGTTTCGTTAGCTACTTTGTAGAGGCATGTGAAAATGCAGCGATTCTGAGCACTATTTATGTGGATAAACAACATAATGAAATCCATGCAAATTTTGATAATATGCTTTTGTTTTGTGCTTTACTGTGACTATTCTAATTAGTCCCTAAGAGGATTTTAAGCCCCCATTTTTGCAGGGCTGATAATTTGATAGAATTAAAATAATAGTTGAGAAGAATCTCCTGAATTTAAATCTTCTATTAAATAAAATTATTAAATTATTAAAACTATCCCTGGTTTCTATYGTTTAACACTTGGGAATAAAGAGTTCAGTGCTGCAGGCACTGAGATTAATCTGAGTATTTGTAACAGTGAGTTTAATAACAAAATTGGTATGGCATCCCAGCCTGGACTAAGATCAAATTCTGATTATATGCACTGAATTTTTTGTTAYGCTGGTTTTAAAGAACAGCTCATCTTTGACCTGAACACTTTTAGTGGGTCTATAATGACTTCCAGAAAAGACAAAAAAAAGAAAAAGGATTATGAGCAAGTGAAATAAAAGGAACAAGTTTCTAAAATGAGTAATGTTGACAACTCCTGTTTTCATAGAGGAAACTAGCAGAAGTCACAGAAGAGGAATGGCTAAGTATTCCCGAAGTTGGGGACGCCAGGAACAAGCGTCAGAGGAATCCTCGTTACGAGAAGCTGACTCCTGTACCCGATAGCTTCTTTGCAAAGCACTTACAGTCGGGGGAGAATCACACCTCTGTGGACCCCCGCCAGACGGTGAGCATTAAAGCAAACCTCRTGAAGATGCCAGTTATATTTAAAGAGAAGGGTTGAGGTGTAATTTTCATTAGAGGCATTTGGAAGAAGAGATACCTGACCCTCAAAGTGGCTGTAGTTTGTCARGCTGTCAGAGGAATTACTGCTGGATGTCAAATTCCTATAATTGTTTGAATCTTTCTGTGCMTTCCCATTTCTAGACAAAACCTGAGGATGATGGGGGGGGAAAAAGAAGTGTATCATGCTAAATACAGAAGAAAATATTTTTGTCTTTCTTTGGGTATAGAATGGTAATTTRGTGAGCTTTAGTGACTAGAATCACTATTTTTTGCAATAGCTGAAGATGTTTACAAACATGGAACAGCAAATAAAGCTCAGCTTCCCTTAATTATTTGCTCTGCCCAGGTGTTGGCTCTAGAATGGTTTTCAGCTGACAGCAAGGCAGATAATTTAGTCTAGTGCTGTGTGACCACAGGCTGATTATAGAAGAAGCTCCTTTACAGAATTGGCTCCAGGGGTCCATGTGAATCTTAATAGATGTTCTTGTTTAAATGTGTTGTTTTAGAGGCTGGTACTTAAATCTTTCCTGTACTTTCTCATTACATATTTGGCAGGACTAAGTTTGTTTAGTACTCTCTGAATTTGCAACACCTGTGTGAGAATCGTGCAGTGTTTCAGGGAAGCCACTGTTCTGTTTAGATTGTCATTAGGATTAGGGACATCTTCAGAAGTCCCAAATCCCCGTGGGTTTTTGGCATCCATGTCCTGTAGTTACTCACTAGGAGCAGATCAACCAACAGCTTGAAATTTCTTCTTGAAATCTCAGATGAGATTTTGGAACATGTTTTTCTCTTGTTTTCAGCAATTTGGTGGCTTGAATACTCCATATCCGGGGGGCTTGAATACTCCTTATCCGGGAGGAATGACACCAGGCTTAATGACACCTGGGACAGGTGAATTGGATATGAGGAAGATTGGTCAAGCAAGAAACACCTTGATGGATATGAGGCTAAGCCAGGTAAGGTGGACACTGGGAGGTGGGGTTTGGGGCTGGTGATCCAGAGTTGATGGTATGCAACTGTTTTTGAGGTCTTAGAGTACCTTTCTTTTGGGCATTAGATACAAGAAATATAGCTCATTTGTGCCGAAAAATAATTTTACTTGGCCTCTTTGTGCCTGCTAGCCAAGTCACATGTCTTCTGGATTTTCCGTGGTGCAAAATGCTTAACCTTARTCTTCTATTTTAGAAGTGAAAGCAAAACTAATAAAACCAATAAAAACCTTCCTTGATTTTGATAACAGATAACCATGTCTTTAATGTGCACAGATAAACGGTGATGCTGTGAGTGGTTGTTTCAGTAGCACTGCCTTGACTTTCCTAGGTGTCCGACTCTGTGAGCGGCCAGACTGTAGTGGATCCAAAAGGATATCTGACAGACTTGAATTCAATGATCCCCACTCACGGAGGAGATATCAAGTAAGTTTAAGAAGGATTAGCTGATTTAGCCTGTTAGGAAGAGCTGTGTTTCTGCATATAAATGGAAATCTGAGTGGATGGTTTTCAGCATACTGTGAATTTTTGAGATGCGGTTTGAGTTTTGGAGGATGAATTCTTTTGGCATGAGGTATGGCATGTGCTTTCAAATGATATATTTAGGATCTGACCTGGATATGTTAATTGTGAGAGTAATTTCCATGCTATCCCTGGACTAACATGCCAGACAGTGATGGCCATGTGTGGCTGCCTGCCAGCCAGGAAACGGTCTGCTTAATTGTACATTTATACAGCTAATTTAGGCTTTACTAACTGCTGAAAACTTCTGTAACTAGAAGTCTGACACCTATTTGCATAAGGAATTGCTATTTAAGTCAAAGCCATATGTGCAAGTGTTGGTTTAAGTGAAGTTTAGGCATCAACATTTGTGCTTAGTGGCTTCCAACTGCAAGTGCCCAACTGTAATTCCTTAAAAGAAAAAAAATCTTACTCAGATAGTCAGTCCTTGTTGTGACCTTGCTGTGCTGATCAGTATTCTTCATAAGCTCGTTGCAGTAGTGTATAACGCATCACCATGGGAAAGCCTGGAAATGCTGGCAGTGCTGGTTACTGTGCGTCTGAGGGTCGCTGTAGAGCACTTACTGATTCAGGAGAGCTGTTTGCAACCTGCTTGACTCTTGTCCTTCCCTAGTGATATCAAGAAGGCTCGATTGCTGCTCAAGTCTGTCCGGGAGACCAATCCCCACCACCCGCCAGCCTGGATCGCGTCAGCCCGACTGGAGGAGGTCACTGGCAAGCTCCAAGTCGCTCGGAACCTCATCATGAAAGGAACGGAGATGTGCCCCAAGGTCAGAATTCCTTTGCTTCCCTGCTGATCCTTGCCTTAGGAGAAGGTTGTGGTTATGAGTGGCAGCCTCTCTGTTAAGCATGTATCAAGTATAGCCTGATAAAATTCCACTGTCCATAGTATTAAAAGAGCAGGTTTAACTAAAGGCTCTAATTTAAAGTTTTTGCTTGTAGTGCCTGCTTTGGTACAAAGGAGGCTTGTTTCTCTTTCCTGACAGAGTGAAGATGTTTGGTTAGAAGCTGCTCGGTTGCAGCCTGGGGATACGGCGAAGGCCGTTGTGGCCCAAGCTGTCCGCCACCTCCCACAGTCTGTCCGCATATAYATAAGAGCAGCGGAGCTGGAGACAGACATCCGTGCAAAGAAACGTGTCCTCAGGAAAGGTGAGAACTGCAGATGGYGCGAATAAAACCTTCATTAAGTTTATCTCTGTAGTATTATGTTGTAAATTGTTCAGGATGTGCTTTTAAGCTTTAAAAGCGTTTTATTTTTTGCCCCCTTGGTAAGCACCTTAGTGCTTAGTGCCTTTTAGTGATGGGGACTTGATGCTGTTGAGTCAAAGACTGGAGTTTTTACAATGTTTGTGGCACTCCTGGGCATAAAGCTGCTCTTGCCAAACATTTGCATAATGCTCTTTCATTTGCTAAAAACAATTCCAACTTGAGCAGAATTAGAGGGATAGAGGAAAGCAATTAAAAGGTGAGGCTATAAAGGGAGAATGGTGTTGGATTTATCTTCTCACACTGACTTTTTGGAAAACATAAAGCCCTTCATCCGTTATCCTATTGCACTCACAAATTTTCCTCTTTTGTGGAATTCAGCATTTTTCCAAAACTATGTTCTCTTTAAGCACCCCTTTTYCTTGTTGCCCTGAATCCAGGTCTTCCTTGCAGGTTCATAGCATCAATTTCTTGATTGCTTGAAGCTATTGTGCCCATATTGGTAGAGTTTAAATCTTTCATGCCTATTGAATCATATCAATTATTTCTAGTGACTTTAATCTAGATGGGAAAAAGAAAACTTGGATTTAATGCATTTTCTGTGTGCAGCAATCCACAGTATTACTTGGCTTCAAAGGGAGTAAATTACCTTCCACCTCCTACTAGTTCATGTAAATTGCTCATCTATGGTGAAATTACCTCTTTATTGCATGTATCAGCATTTGAATAAAAGGTTTGCATGTCCAGGTTGTTGGTGCTTCACCTGAAATTGTGAGAGTTCAGATATTAACTATTGCATTTTCAGTTTTCATTGGCAAAGCAGTGCAGATGTCTGTGGAGTGTCACTATTGCTGTGAAACCGTGTGTTCTTCTGCAAGAAAAACACTTGAGCAGAGACAGATTTCAGAGTCTGGCTTGTGCAGGAAAGCATCTTGTGTGTGAAGTACTGAGTCTGTTCTTTTGCTTTAAACATTGTGTTAAGAAAAGACACCTTGTGTCAGTTTTAGGAGCTCTCTGTGTGAGTTTTGAGACAACTCCGTGGAATGGAGTGTAATTTATCATGCTGTTCCTAATTTCTCTGTGTTTAAACAATGAGCTTTATAGCACTCCTAGACTATGTAGGAAATACAAGAAATCTGATGGTTTGAAAGTATTTGCATGCATAGCCTTACATAACAGGCACTTTAACRCAGTATTCATCCAAAAATAAAAAGGGCTGAATGCCAGGTAGCATCACTGAAGTGCAGTCTCCCATAATTTATCCTGCTCTTCTGGCCATGGCCTGTGCATATTCCTACCATSTAGCGAAACCTGTAGAGTTTTAAAAGCCTCTCTCTCACCAGAGAGGCAGCAAGCTGTGCCTCAAAATACATCCTGAGGTGTTGAAATTGAAGGCTGTATCTACGAAAACATGCTTTGTCCTGCTGAGTGGGGCTTTAAGTTCTTGCAGACTGATATAACTCRCTTAAAATGCTTCAGAAAAACCTCCTGCTGCTACGGACTCTGAGGAACAGTTAATGCCCGACTGCTTGGAGCATTCTCCTTGTAAATTCTCTATGTGTTTCTGTAAAGTCCCGGAGTTTTGGTGTCCCTTGGCCATTGCAGCAATAATCAAGGAATAGCATTGACTTAGAAGCCTAGTTCATTTGGAAATATATAAAATTGCATCTTTACACCTGTATTGGTGATCCTACAGTTACACTTTTTGAAGACAGCTACGTTCTGTTCTGTTACTAACCCACTTGTGTGTCGCCATGGTGGAAGCAACGAAACTAATTGCATACGGACTAATTGTGGTAACAAAGGACTGAAAAAGCGTTGGTTTCTTTTCCCAATGTCCCTTTAAGATAAAGGGTTATGAAAAGGCAGGCCGAGGAGAGCCGTTGCTTGGAGCTGGGTGTTTTGGACAGCGCTTCTAGGAAAATCTGCCGAGAATGAAGTTTCTGCCAGGAGCAGAAAATGCTTGGACAAGATTAAAGAAGCCTGAAAGACTCTTTGTTAGAGGGCCCCCGTATTGGATTACAGAGAGAACATGTGGAATTCTGTGGCTGGGCTCTTCAAGTTGCCCTGCGATACCTTTAATACCTTTAAGCTTTTATGCTTCCTTTAGTTTTATTTTTGAGTAGTGGGTCTAACTTGTTGGAAAGCTGCTAGACCAACAATCATTAAACTGTCAGCAGATGCTTACAGGAAAACYTGATTGTGAAGAGATGATTTCAGCAATTTGGGAACAGGGCTGTTATTGGTTAAAAATCAAACGTCTTTTTGTCGKTTTTTTTTGCCCCTGAAGGGAGACACTACATTATTAGCCTCCCCAATTTTTGATAATCCATATATGTCCATATATTTCAAAATGTCAGATCAAATAAGGATTTTACAGATTTGTCAGATGAGCCCTGTTTGTACAGGATGTGTAATACCTCTTAATGCCATTTCCTGAGACATGGAAGTTGTAAAAAAAAAAAAAAAAAAAAAAAAAAAAAGTCATTTTATAGTAGAGTGCTGTAGAACTTAACCCTTGCATATGTGGGATTTTATACCAGTCTGGTGTATTTTTCTTGTATTATCATTAATATTAATACTTTAGATTTTTATTTATTTTTATTGCTTTAAGTCAGATTTATAGGTATTAAGAAAACATCATAATTAAAATATTGATCAGGGTCGAGAATTTCCTTTTATAGCAATTTGTACAGGGGAAAGCCCTTGGCTCACCAAAACCTGTTTCCAATTAAAATTATTAAGCATTTATTTTCTGGTTTAAAATTCTCATATGATGAAGTCCATAAGAGATAAAGTAGATACTGCTATTAAAAATGAGATGATGTAGATACTGCTATTAAAAGTAGTAGTGCCAATAATATTTTAAGTAAGCATATTTTCAGTTTGTTCTTCTGTCACTGCTAGAGAGGAAAAAGGTTTTTTTTTTTTGTTTGGGGAAAAATATCATTTCCACCCTTTTTCAGGAGGTTTCGTCTGCTTTTTTTTTGTGTGTGATTAAAATGTTTAGTGTGTCATCTTGGAAAAACACAGCTCTATTTGGTGAACTTCTTTATCATGATTCACACAGCTTTTATTCTTTTCTAGCTCTGGAGCATGTTCCAAATTCGGTGCGTTTGTGGAAGGCAGCAGTGGAGCTGGAAGAACCTGAGGATGCCAGGATCATGCTGAGTCGGGCTGTGGAGTGCTGTCCAACTAGTGTTGAAGTAAGGTTTGGAGGAAGGGATTTGTTTTGGTTTTGTTTGTTTTGAAAGTAATTTAAGTTTGGTTTAAAAGTAATTTWAAAAAAATATATATAGTGTTTTAGGATAGTGGTAGATTTTGGATCCAAAAAGCACTCTGCGTTTTCTACYAGACAGAAGGACATCAGAAGGGTTTGCTGAGTAGTGAACTGTGTTCTTTCTCCTGGGCTAATAGTCTGGTGGTCATTATATGCCTCATTTTCTTGTGTAATTGTTATGTTAGTTGTGCCAGCAGACTGCTGTGCCTGCAGCAGCCCATTAGCCATGTTTGTGTTCATGTTTAGTGCCCTGGCAGTTGTGAAAACTAGCATATGTACAGCTTRGGAAACCTGAAAGATTGGTGTTTGCTTCTGGATCGTTGAACCCAAGCATTATAAGCCCAGCTGCTTAAAAGGTGGTCTAGACAGAACATATTAGTGCAGCAGCCCAGCAAAGAGAAGATAATATAATGATTAAGATTTAACTTTTTAAGAATAGTAGCAAACTCTGAAAATACTGTTTCTACGTAGTATAAGCAGGCTGTGGAATATCTATATGATGAGGATGGTTRCCAACTTGCAGCAAACTGCATAAAGCTGCTTATCTCTCCTGGGCCAATACTGCTGCACGGAGACGTTGCCATCTCCTTGTTCTAATCTGATATACATCCTTGGTTGCTCTGTAGCTTTGGCTTGCGCTGGCAAGACTGGAGACTTATGAGAACGCTCGTAAAGTCCTAAACAAAGCCCGGGAGAACATTCCAACAGATCGTCACATCTGGATTACGGCGGCCAAACTGGAGGAGGCCAATGGAAACACTCAGATGGTGGAGAAAATCATCGACAGAGCCATCACATCCCTCAGAGCCAACGGTGTGGAAATCAACAGGGAGCAATGGATACAGGTACTTGTTTCCCGTGTCTCTTTTAGAGACGCRGAAGAGCCAAGCTCTCAGTTCTGATTTGAAGGCTCCTGGTACTCCATATTATGAAGTGGTTATTTTGCAGTAGGCTTGTCAGTGGAGGTCTGACCCCTGTGAAAATTCAGTGAGCGAGACTCCGGAGTCTGCTGGGGAGGCCCAAGTCCATGGTTAAGTGAAGCCTGGGGCAGTGCTGTGTGCTCAGCTGAGGAGTGTCTGGTTTCCTTCTGTCTTGGAGAACAAGCAGCTTCAAGTTGAAGCAGCTGCTGCCTTAAGGAGGATAGAGGCATTAAGCCCCCAGTGAGGCATTTTATGTGTTTTTTTGCATGTGTAATTTGCTCTAATTCAACAGCAGTTGAGTGTGTGTTTAATCTCAGCTGTTTAGCCCTTTCTGAGCTTTGAGAATGATTCCAAAGCTGAAATGAGATCAGTAGCTTTGCTCCTGAAAATCTTTCTTCTCAAAGTTTTGCTGCTTTCCTTTTTCATTAAGTCCCTGCTCAGCCCAACCCAGGGAAAGTCAGTGAAATGGTAAGAAGAGACTTCCCAGACAGGAAAGCTAATGAGTTGTCACACGTTCTTTCTCATTGGATGCTGTGGTTGTTTCAACAGCTACAGCATCTTCAAAGTAGATGTTGTCTCACTAATTAGTGTCAAGATATCATTAAGCAATGTTTTTAATATGGTACTGCCCGCAGTGTCCGTRTATTTGCACTTGAATTGCTGTTGTAGAATCTGATGCCTTTTATTGCAATTCCTCAAAAGGAACAATTCTCTGCTCTTGTTTCTAGGATGCTGAGGAATGTGATAAAGCTGGAAGTGTGGCCACATGCCAGGCGATCATGAGAGCTGTCATTGGGATTGGAATTGAGGAAGAAGATCGGAAACACACCTGGATGGAAGATGCAGACAGTGTATGGCCAGCTGTGCTGTTTTGTTTAGTTTGAACTGGGGGAAGTGGAACTGATGCCTGAGAAATTACATGTTTATTTGTCAGTGAAAGTGGGTGCAATTGGCCAAATGCAGACAGACCTGCCTCTCGGGKGTTGGTGTGTTGTTCAGCTTTCTTCTGATCTGGGTTTTTTCCTAAGCATAAAGTTGCTGATTGTGATGGATTGTTTGCTGCCCTTTTTGCAAGGTCAGTAAAGATTGCAGTCCAGGTTTGAGTTTGAAAGCATGAGCACTGTAGCCCAACAATTATTACAAGAGTAGATAGGGGACTTTGTAAAAGTGTTACCAGTCCTTCTTTGCTTTTCAGGGGTAGTTTAAATACACACTAAAAAGTAAATCATATTTCATCAGAAGTGTTCATTTCAGCTGCCTTTGAATTAGGCTTGCTGCAGAAGGTGGGCGTAGGCAGTGGTGCTTCGAGTTCTGCCTTTATAGAAATGAAGTGCAAACATTGGAGAGCCTTTACAATGTCTTGATAATTCTTCAASTTGGCCTGTGTGTCAGTCTCACTGAAAGGCCAGTGATAGTTGTGCTCTGATAAAAAAAGGAAGCAATGAGGAATTTTCTAAAACTGAAAATTACTGTTCAGTTGCCTCTGATGCCCTAATTTCTATATTAATTAGAATTGTTCTGGTCTGTGTTGAATTACGCCTGTGTCATTCTATTATGCCCTTCATTTCAGTCCAACCCTAAACTAACTTAATTACCATCTGATTTTCTTCAGTGTGTTGCTCACAATGCTTTGGAGTGTGCCCGAGCAATTTATGCTTACGCCTTGCAAGTTTTCCCGAGCAAGAAAAGTGTGTGGCTGCGAGCAGCTTACTTTGAGAAGAACCACGGGACCAGGTGAGCGCGCTGCAGAATCCTTGGATGGAGGGGTTCATGTTTCCTCTCACGGAGCAGTACATTGGGCAGGACAGGAAGCTGCAAGATGAATCACGAAATGTTGTGTTACACAAGCAGAGTTATTTCAGTTGGTGAAAACTTGCTGGCGTTATTTGTGGCTTTGACCTTCCTCCTTGTGGTCAAGAGCATCTCTGACTTTGTTTTAAATGAAGACTCCTCATCTTTGAGAATGGCTTTCTAGAAAGAAATGGGAATATGGGGTAACAGATCACCTAGGAATATAGCACGTAGTTCATTAAATTTCTGTATATAAACTGTGTGATCACTGAAGCTGCCTGAATATCTCTAAAATTTTTTTTGATTGAACATACTGAGAATCAGTTTATYAATGCTGCTGTTACACTGTCAGTGGTCCATGCTTCTTATTTTAAAGTTTATGATAAAGTTCTGTCAAATGTCAAATGCATTTCAAACTTGCTGCCCAAAGTTTCTGTGCAATAGATCACTTATGCACATGCAGCTGACCCTATTAAACCCAGCAGAGCTTGTATGTATAGGACAGGGAGTGCCCTCCCCCTCCCCACCTTCTTTTTTCCTTTTTTTTTTGATCCTCTGCTGCTCTTTTAGCCCCTTGTCCTGATTGAAAAATATATTTTCTAGAGGATGAAAAAAATTAAGTAAGATTAAACCAGGCCCATGTAATAATTCTGAAGAGCTCCCTGTCCCAACCTCTGCTCAGGTTTGTTTCGAAGCAAAAGCACTTTCCAAGACAAATGAGAGGTTTTTATGTAGGGTCTTTCCGCAGAGGCTGTTGAACACAGGTGGCTGAACAATGAGCTATTTGTGGACTGCTGGTTTCAGAAACCTTGTGAAAAAAGACCCACCCTCTCCTGGTTATGAAACAACTTATCAAGGTTTACAACGTTGGACTTTGCAACAATATTTATAACGTTGATAGTGGCAGTGGTGTGTGAGAGCTCCCGCTTGGCAGCATTTTGAATGATTATAACTTGCTCTTTCTTGGCCCAGGGAATCCTTGGAGGCCCTGCTGCAGAGAGCCGTCGCGCACTGCCCCAAAGCAGAAGTGCTCTGGCTCATGGGAGCCAAGTCCAAGTGGCTGGCGGGAGATGTGCCCGCAGCCAGAAGCATTTTGGCCCTGGCTTTCCAGGTGGGTATCTTAGGCTTGTGTGGTGGCTTTGGGGMGGACTATTAAAGACCAGAGAGTGAGCTTTTTCTGTGGATGCCCGTTCTGCTGCTGCCTCCCCAAATGAGGGCACTCCCACTCTTCTTTGATTATTGTATACAGCAAATTGTTCAAATAGAGGCAAGCTGGAAGCAAGAGTGTGCTACTGCCTTTAATAGCAGTAACAACTTCAGGTTTCTGAGGTCACAAACTGTTAATTTTAATGGGCTCTCACACACTCTCACCATGCATCAGAATTTTCTTCTGTTGGTTTCTCTGAAAATGCTCATCTATGAAAGAGGGATGGTCTCTCCAAATCAATAAAGCTCTGCATTATTCACAACCACTAATCTGTAGCAAAATGAAGATTAGCACTGAAAGATGGGCAGAGTTCTGAGGTTGGGACTGAGACTCGAAAGCTGAGCARTGGTAGTTACTTGCTCCTGAAGGAGGTATTTATTTCAGAAATTTGTTTTTGGCACTTCTTTTTACCATTCTGAACCTCCTTGAAATGGTTGCTGCTGAGATGACTTGTTTTGGAGTAGTGTTCACAGACCTCAACRGGGAATTTGGGCTTTCTTATTTTCTTTTTTTTTTTTAATTTTTTTGTTCAAGGGTAATAAAATGAGGGTCTTGCTGTGACAGACTTTATGATCTTCTTGGTATTTAAACTGGAAGTTCAGAAGATCAAGCATTAATGCTTTTCAACAATTGAGAAGCATCCAACTTCCAAACTGGCATGTATCTTTGTGTTGTGCATCTGTTTCGGAGAATTCCTATAAACTTCAAAGGTCAAAGAAGATTGGGAGGAGCTTGAACTGAAGAAAAAAACCCTAGTGAGGATTGACAGAGCTCTGATTTCAATTTTAATCTGGATCAAACGAAGGATTAAATCTGCTGTTRATTCATTGTATGCATTTGCCTGTCATTTTATGCTCTTGCAGGCCAACCCCAACAGCGAGGAGATCTGGCTGGCTGCCGTGAAGCTCGAGTCAGAAAACAATGAATATGAAAGAGCAAGGAGGCTGCTGGCAAAAGCTCGCAGCAGTGCCCCCACTGCACGGGTAAGGACGTGAGGAGGGTGGAGAGCCTGGACCTCTCTTGGCACCGGGAGCCCAGGCGGAAGGAGAAGCCCCTTCAGCTCGGTGGCCTCCGTGATGGAGCGGGTGGCTCCCTGCCATTGCCTTTGCGGGCATGTGGCAGCTCTTCTCCAGCTAATTGCGACATAAACGAAGGCATGATGGGGGGAAAAAAAGACCACAATTGATTTTTTTGCCCAAACGGCCAAAGTCAGGAATTTCCTGGTTTACAGCTGTTTGTAGATTGATCATGCTGTGTAAAAGCCTGCCTTGGAAAAAGGAGAGGAGCTGCTTTCGCAGTGAACTTGAATTTGTCGAAGAGGAAAGATCTGGGTCATGTTATGAGGAAATTATTGCTTTTTTTTTTTTTTTTCTTTCTCATTTGTGCTTTATTCTTGATCTCTTAAATTGTACTTCCCCTATCAGTTAGTGAGATTCTGCCCTGTCAGGGCAGCTGAGGCTGAATCTCTTGTGACATTTGATGTGTCCCTTGCTGAGTCATAGGTGGGGGCAGTTTGAGAAAGGGGAGGACAGGTCAGAGTAGCTAAACTGCCTTCCATCTGTAAATTACTTCTCACAACTGTAACCTCCCTGCCTCATTAGAAGAAAAACACTGAGGACACAAGAGTGTATTTATTAGTTTTTAATTAGCAGGATCTCAGACGTGACTTGGAGCCTTAACTAGGAAAMGGTGTTTGTGGTAGCCTTGGGTACCACAAGGCGTCCTTGGAGGGAGATGTGCATGTGCAGAGGAAGCTGCTGAGCACACGCAAATTTATGTATTTGGTTATGCCCTTAAAGTTGTGCTTTTTGCACAAATATTGTATAACTATGAATTTTCTGTTAATGGCTGGGATAAAGGTTATCTGATCGCACTGTTCCAGCTACTTTAATGCTTGCGTTTAACATTCTCATTGTTATGTTCCCTCTGTTACTTAACTTTGCCTTTTTCCCCCTTCAGACTAGCAGATCGATAACACTTCAGTGAGGGTTTGAACCTGAGAGCCCTTGGCATTGACACAGTAATGGTTTTCCAATGGCTCCTAGTGATAAACAACTCTATTCTTAGGTCTTCATGAAGTCTGTGAAGTTAGAGTGGGTGCTTGGAAACATTGCTGCAGCCCAGGAGCTCTGCGAGGAGGCCCTGAAGCACTATGAGGACTTCCCCAAGCTGTGGATGATGAAAGGACAAATAGAGGAACAAAAAGAGCTGGCAGAGAAAGCACGGGAAGCTTATAATCAAGGGGTGAGATGCATGTTACTGCGAATTTGCTTTGCATTTGTGGTGTGCTGATAGCCCTGTTCCRGCCTGTTGGAGATGTGATTTTATTTATTTATTTTTGTTACAGCAACAAGAACAAAGGAGTTGTCATGACTTTGAAATAATCAGCCAGAGTGTATCTCTTATACTGCTGTCAATAGGCAAAATTCTTTTTTTTTTCCTTGAGGAAGTTTGCTCTATGCTGCACTCGTCATTGGTGCAGTGAGCTTTCTTTTCCTGCAATAACTGTTTAAGACRTGCACAGACATCAGTAAAACTCTTAAGAGAAAAGCCTGTTAATGAATTCTTAGACATACCCAGTGGAAGGAGGGGACCTACCCAGCGCTCAGGTCTCTCTCAGATGATTAATGGTTTTCTTACACATGAATGCTCCTGAAAATCATCCATGAAAATAATAGGGAAAAAAGTTCCTTGCTGCCAGCTCTGGTATCCACTTGATTGCCTTGGCTTTAAGGGTGATCTTGGTGTATTCTGTTGTAGAGCCTGGGTTGTATAAGAGCCCTGCAGACCAGCACAGGTGACATGTGCTGTTAAAGGAGATGTTTTCTTTCTCTTGGTACAGGCAGAGCTCAGTCCTGCTTGGTGTATTGCTTATTTCTTTTGGATATGGGGCAGACCAGATGTTTGTACTGATCTGAACCATTAGATTAACTAGGATTTGAATGATGTATTCAACTTCATCTCACCTCTTCCAAATTCTCCAGGAGGGAGGGGTGGACTATTTCTTTAGAGATTATAACATGTTTGCAAATTGACAGACTCTCTAAGCTTTTCCTCTTTTAAAACAGTTGAAGAAGTGTCCCCATTCCATACCCCTATGGCTCTTGCTATCCAGACTGGAGGAGAAAGTTGGGCAGTTGACTAGAGCAAGAGCCATCTTGGAAAAGTCTCGTCTGAAAAACCCAAAGAATCCTGATCTCTGGTGAGTTGTGTGGACATGAACCGAGTGTGAGCTGAGGCCAGGGCATTCCTCAGCTTAACCCTTTGCATCTTCCCAGTGTTTGAGCGATTAAGACCCTGCCCAGCCTAGTGTTCCTCTGGACTAACAACTTTTTCCAAATCCCAGACTGCTCCTGTTGCTAGTACACAGGTGCTCTAAGGAGTTAAGGACCAGTTATTTGTTCTACTCATAGCTGTAGAGTTTGAAAAACCAGGGATCTTTCATTTCTGTTTTAGTCTCTTTATGGGATTTTTTTTCTTGATCTAAGCTTTTGTAGAATAAAGATCATAACTAYGTATTCTTAAAGTGAGCAATGGGGAGATACCAGTAATCTTCCTTTATGCAGCCAGAATATGGGCAGATGTTTATATTTTCTCATATTCTTCATGTGACTGACTCATTGTTTGTTTCTACATAATGAATTAAATCTCATAAATGGTGTCACGTGGTCTCTTCCTTTCCAGGTTAGAGTCTGTACGATTAGAATACAGAGCTGGGTTAAAGAATATTGCAAATACTCTGATGGCCAAGGCATTGCAAGAATGTCCCAATTCAGGTAAACTGGATTATTTAATTATTTATCTTTAATCTCAAACAYGGTTATATTTTCTCAGCAGACAGAGATTCACCTTTCTCTAAGATGCCCTATTTGGCCAGGTCAGCACAAGATTCTTCAGAGAGGTGTCCTCTTAGGAAGGAAACTTGCTGGTGTTGTTGAGTATTCCCAGTTACTTTGTACTTTCTCACACCAAGAGAGGTCTTGGGTGTTGATTCCATTTTGTTGACGTATCCAGTGTATTATTGGGTCTATTGTCTGCAGTTTATCCTCAGGTTTCCAGCTTTCCACCACGATATGGACTGTTTTTTACTGAAGCTAGCGGAAATTTGCAAAGGAAGAAATGCCAGCCTTTAAACCTGACTCTCAAGAGTTTGCAGTTAGAAAATTCACTGAAATGTTTATTTTATTTTTTAAAATCCCTTGTCTCACTGGCGTAGAGCTGGCTGGAGAGGACTTCTTGTTGTTGATTGGCCTGCAGTGGTCGCACTCCTGATGCGACCTGTCYGCTTAAAATCTAGCGTGACAGCAAATCTCAGTCCCAGTCCTGATGAGTGAAGCATTTACCCCAAGTTTAGTCCTGCTTTCTGATTCAAACGCCTCCAGAAAAGGCAAATAGGCCGTATAATCTAAATCAATTGGTTCAAACCAGCATTGGAATTATTTGCCTCCTGGGATAGGAGGAGAGAGTGCCTGATACTTCCTTATTTTTTGGCAGAACTGTTGGAAGGCTTAATTATTTAAACATGTTGGTGTCTTTGGAGAAAAGATGTTGCATAACTATGAAACACAGTAGTCTGCTGCAAGCCTTTAGAGTTTGCCTTCAGGCAGGGTTTCGAGAGGTGTTTTAATTGACAGGTGCTGGAGTCCAGTGAAATAAGGGAATTAAGTGACTTTATTTTTCATTTATTTTTTGGATTTGAGAAACTCATTCCAAACGGCTCACTGTGAGAGTGGGCCAACAAAGCAATACCACACAAGCCCCGCTTCTGGTGAACTGCTTAGCCTAACATTTAATGTGTGTTTGCCACCACAGGCCTCACTGCAGAATCTGCTGGTTGCTATGGAAATAAGCAGCAGGATCTTAGTTTTTGTTTAAATAAAATAGCTTCCAACTCTGGCTTGAAATTCTATAAACCAAAATAAAGGCCTGCTGGAATTAGCAGGCTAAGCACTTACAGTCATGTAAAGCAGACGCTTTGGTTGCTGAATTACCCTTGATTGCCAAACTGATTTCCAAYTGCTCGTGCCTCACTTAGGCAGACTGTACAGAGAACGAAGCTGAAACATAAACGGTGTTTGTGTCCTCAGCTGGCCTGAAAATAGAGGCCTGAAAATGTGATTTGACTGTGTTTGAAAAGAGCAAATCCTGAAGGCGAGGAGGAGAGAGTTCTGGTCCGCTCTGTCACTGCAGCCATCAAAGCTGCAGTGTCTGTTCTCATGGTGCTGTTTATGGGAAGTGAGAGCACTTGGTGGAGTCCTGGCAGGCACAGGCTTTCAGGCTTGGCTTTGAAGTGATCAGCAAGTATTGCTGGCTGACGTGTGAAACCCAAGATTTCATGCTCCTCCGAGCGTATTTCCTTTTTGCTTTTGGCCGTGAAAGGAACTAGGGATTAAGCCCTGCTTTCCTGGCCCATCTCTTGCCTGCTGATGCCTTCATCAGATTTGTGGAGAGCTTGGTGCCCTTTGGCACCTTTGAAACTGTTTCCCAATGGTGTTCCTGTCACCTTTTGGGATGACATCTGCCACTGTGGTTTCCCATTCAGACAATTTGATATCTTTCATTTCTTACCTCCTGGTTTACTCTTTGTTGCTTGTAATGTCTTGTCTGACAGTCACAAGCTCTGGGTTACTGCCTGCTACTATAGGGAACACAGGAGCTGCAGGAAGGTTATAACACAGAAACATTCAGAACTGAAAGTGTGGTGTGGTGGAAGCAGTAGCTAAAAGTTCAGGAGCATTGAATGAAATATCCGTGCTTGGGGCTGAGCGTATCACACATAGGATGGGAGCAACAGGCTTGCTTGTTTTGGAGAGCACTGGCTTGATAACAGGGTGGGGAGGTTTATCTCTGAAATAACATCATCTTCCATCTGGACTCATTTAAGGAATCCTGTGGTCAGAGGCAATTTTCCTGGAAGCACGACCGCAAAGGAAGACCAAGAGCGTGGATGCTCTGAAGAAGTGCGAACACGACCCGCATGTCCTGTTGACTGTGGCCAAGTGAGTTCCCGAGCTTAATGCAGTAAAAATACCCATTTTTATGTGACTGCATCTGAAAAGATGAAATGTTGCACTCAGAGAAGCCCGTGTGATTGTGAGTGCCGCAGAGATGATAAAGCTCAAAGCAAGATGCCGCCTCCTAGGAAGTGTGCAAACCCGCTCCTCTGTCTTGGTTAAAAACTGGAGATTTCCACCTGTCCTCCAGCCACTGCAGTGGGTCTGGGACCGCAGTGGAGATGTAATATGTTTTCCCTGGGTCCTTTTCCAGGCCTGGCTGTTTGTGCTCCATGAAAACATGTTACCTTCATGCCCTTGGACAAGCTTCGCTTCCACGGGGTCTGTTTTAAGTATTTGTGGAAATGGGGACAACTTTTGCTGGTTATTGACCAGTTTTTGTGGTTGACAGTGTGAATTCCTGATCTGTTCTCTTTCTTCCCTCCTGACCTAATAACAGTGAGCTGTTCTAGTCTTCTCTTTTCCTAAATTTCTGCTCTGTCAGTTCTGTGTCAGTTTTTTGCCCCAGTTTTGGCCCTTCCCGGAATGCAGACTACTAGTTGTGCTGTAGTTTGCTTTTAGACAGGAAGACAGTCTGCTAGGAGTTGTCCTGTTGCCTAGATAGAGTTGTGAGGCTTCCAGGGAAGAAAAACCATGGTTAGAATTGACTCCTGCCATACCCTGTCCTGATGCATAAAGGGCCATAAAACAGTGTCAGAAAATTACTTTTCTTCCTCTATGAATAGCACAAGAGGTTAATGTGAGATGCACATTGCCCAATTCTTTCACAACTCATTTTTATAAGCCAAAGAAAACTGTAGGATACACTCCAGTGACTGCAACACTGGCTTCTGCCAGATCATGACAGTTTACTTGTTCAGCTTTAGCTGCAAGTGAGAAAAAATACTAACTTTTGCTTTATAGAAACTGATTCTGGGCACCTTCCGAAGCAACTTCATTTAGCTGCTAATCCCAACACAAACAGATTCCCCCTCCCTCCAAAAGATTTGCATGTAGGCACAGTAAAAYGTGGTCTGTCACCCACTTAGGAAAAGCTCTTTATTAAAAAGAACTTTCTGTAAGTGGCTGCTACCTGCAGGTGTTCAGTCTTTCTGCTATCGTTGTTCATGCTCTTTTAAATCACAGTTTATTTAACACCAAACAATCAAGGGTATTATAGGGCTTAAAAACAATCACATAAGTTGTATAATTTTATGGCAGCCTAAGCTCTTTATGAGGGATGGTTTTCTGATGTGATAAAGACCTTGCTAGTTCAGATGAACTCTTTTAATGTGGAAGATTGAAACCAATGGGCTATTGACTCAGCTGCTTAATTACCGGGGAGAAATTTCAGCATTCCCAAGTAGCTTTCTGCAGTGGCGGCAGCCGAGCTGGGATGCGAGGATGGAATCTATGCCTTTCCTTGGAAAAAGTGAGGCTCRTGGGATGGATCCGCTCCGTTAGAGCTCAGAAACTGAGTGCACATGAGCATGTCACTCGACGCTTTCTAAGCAGACTTGCATAGAGTTTTCAACTCTTTGAGACTGTTTAATTAGTAAATGCTAAAGTCAACTTAAAATGCTAAGAACTTGGAGGAAGGGAAAAAGATGTAGACAGAGGATGCCGTTTATTCCTACAGTAAATCTAAATCAGCAGTGTGAGCAGAGGAGTCAGCAAAGGTTGAGCTCACAGAACATTTCTTCCCTCCTCTGGAACCCCTCTCTCTTCCTTTGACTGAGGCTGACTTAGCCTGTTAGATCAGGTGGAGAGTGAAGAAGCAGATATCCCTTTTAGTCCTCTAATGTCTCCTCTCTTTCCAGAGGACAGGACAGCTGACATTTACAAAACTCTGCTTTGTCATCGTGGGAGAGCTGAGAACCTAAATACATGGAGGGCCTTTAAGTTTGAGGACTTGCAGTTTGTGGTGTTTCTCCAGAGAAGAAATGTGGGTATTGACTTTTGCTTTTCTCAAAAGGTTATTCTGGAGTGAGCGCAAAATAACTAAGGCCCGAGAATGGTTCCACCGAACAGTGAAGATAGACTCCGACCTGGGGGATGCCTGGGCTTTCTTTTACAAATTTGAGCTCCAGCACGGCACAGAGGTGAGTGTGCACCTGGGGAAAATGGAGCTGCTCCCCCAGCACAGACAGGGAATCCCTTCCTGCTGTCCTGGGAATTGCTGCAGCCCTGGGCTGAGCCCTTTGCTTCTGCTGCCAGTGTGGCTCAAGGATCAGGAGGCGAAGGCTGTCACACCTGGTCGTGAATTAACACCAGCAGGCATGTGGGGTGTCATCAGCTGCATTGACCTTCAGGCTGTTTTGCTGTTTACAGTCTTGCCACTTGGTGCAAAAATGCATGAAATTGGGGTTCTGTGTGTCAGACAGCAGCCGAGTGGGAGAAGCCCGTCCTGCAATTACAGTGCTGGATTTGTGTGACTAGTCCTGTTTCTTTACAAGTTTCGAGTTTGGGTTGCACGTGAACACAGCCGTTAAGAACAGTGCGTGCTGATCTCAGGGTGGTTTTACTGCCTCGTGTTGCTGATGTGATGGGAGTGTTTATTCCCTGCCGTCAGAGGGACCTCTCACTTCATATATCTCATGCCCTGCTATCACAGAGAGAGTTTTTGCTACAGATTCTCTGGTGCAGCCACAACTTGCGTGACTGTAACTAGGCCAGTTTGTTCAGCAAGGCAGGACAGTCACCACTCATCTTTAACTCATTCAAAGCAGTTTTTTCGTGTTGTCTTAAAACAACCAAACAAACCCCCAAAGCGTTAACTTCAGGGAGGGGATTGTTAACTTTCTGGCTCTACACTGCAACAAACCAGGGCATTAAGAGACTCGCAAACGACTGTTTCCCTTCCTTGTAGGAGCAACAACAGGAGGTGAAGAAGCGCTGCGAGAATGCCGAGCCGCGCCACGGAGAGCTCTGGTGTGATGTCTCCAAGGACATAGCGAACTGGCAGAAAAAGATCGGCGAGATCCTTGTCCTTGTGGCAGCCAAGCTCAAAAATACTTTCTAGAGGATGCTGACGCGGCTGCATCAGTATCTCTGTAGGACTAGGGTGTCTGCTCACCAGCTTTCCCTGCATTTGCCCTTACAGTGGACACATTGGAGAGGACAAGAGATTGGTGGAAAATGAAAGATCTGTTTTTTTTTTTTCTTTCCCAAAAGAAAAATCTGTTCCCTTCTCTTCCTGTTGTAGTGCTCTTGGCTCACGCGGTGCAGTCATCAGCTGTGTGCATCACAAATGCATCTAGATTCGCTCTGAACATTGTCATTTGGGGCAAATGTAGCAGAGTTGAGCAGTTTGGATGCTCAGTTGGCATTTTCACCTTGATGCCTGCATCCCCTCTGTAAATATCCTTAATTATTGCTTGTTTGGTTGCTGATGTTTAGCCGTTCCTCTGATCTCTTCCCTAGCATGAAGTGCTCGTCGTGCCGCCCGTTTGTGCAGTTCCTTTAGTGTCTGGCCCATCAGATGCTGGTTCTTTGTCAGCAGATCCGTTTCCCTGCTGYCTGAATGCAGCAAATTTACCCTGAAGGGAAGCGTGGATGTCTGCTGGGGAGACCAGGAAGAGAGTGGCCGGGGTGCCCCTTTCCTTGGCCCCAGGTGAGACCCAAGTCTCGTTTGACTTTGTCTCCTCTGCTGGCAAACTGCAGCATAACCCGGAACGTTTCCTTAAACCTGAGCAGACGAGGYGCTTTGTGAAATTCCAGAGAATATTTTTAAAGAGCTTTTTCTCAGCTTTTTTAAATGCATATGATATAACCTTCTTTAGGAGTCTGATTTCATTAAGCAAAGGAATATTTTGAAGGAACAAGGCAAAATATAATCCCTTTGGAAGGAGTTAACCTTTTGTGAGAGCCGCTGAGAAACTGTGTTTTCTAATGTCAGAATTGTTTTGAGTCTGGATATTTGGGATAACTCTTCAAGTGCGTATGGAAAAAAGCGAAATCATTGGAGGAAGGGCTTTGTGTTTAGGATCTTTTATGAGCTGTCTTAAGGGTTTTCTTTTATATTTGTGATCTGTATTATTTTGACCCAGAGAGCCTGCCTTTCTTGTCATTATCCTTTCAGCGAAAAGCTGTCTCTTATATATTAGGATCTCGCAAAAGTATTCAGGTCTGTGTATGTGTTCTATATAAGTGTATTCAGTTGAAGAAAACCTTATCACCTGCCTAGGAAATGTGTATAAAATACAGTTTGATTGTTTTCTTGTATGGAGGGAGAAGGGGAATTTTTCCTTGGCTGAAAGTGCGGGAGCTCCGTGTTGAGAAGCATGCAGGGCCCTTTAGGGATTTTGTGCCGGATTCCTATAGATGGATAAACGGGAACGAGGGATTGGAAGCACGAAGCGGGGCCAGCAGCTGTTTCGGAAAGCGAGCGTGGAAGGAGGATGATTCAAACACACATTCGGAGCGCTGGAAACGCCCGGTGGCCTGGGCTCCCGGAGCGCGGCCCTGCTCCCACGTGGATCTCGGTGCCGCTTTCCCTTCCCCTTCCCGTTCCCGGCGCCTCGGGCGGCCCCTCGGGGCGGCCCCCCGGCGAGCGGGAGCCTCCCGTCCCCTCCCACCGCGGCCCCGCTCCGCGTGGAGCCAAGTTCAAACGGAGCGCGGGCGGGCGCCGGAGCGGGACGCGGAGGGGCCGCCGGGCCCTGCCCCGGAGCCGCGCGGGGTCCATGGTGAGCGGGGCCTGGGGCTGGCGAGGGGGCTGCTCCATCCGGGAAGGGGCTCGGAGCACTTGGGACAGGGCTGCTCCAGCTGGGAAGGGGCTTGGAGCACACGGGACAGGGTTGGTCTGACTGGGAAGGGGCTCAGTACAGGGCTGCTCAGGCTGGGAAGGGGCTCGGGACACGGCTGGTCCAGGTGGGAAGGGGCTCAGGACAGGGCTGCTCTGGCTAGGAAGGGGTTTGGAGCACTCGGAACAGGACTGGTTCCTCTGGGAAGGGTCTCGGGCCACTGGGGATAGGACTGGTCCAATTGGGAAGGGGTCTCGCTGGCTTAGACCCATTGGGCTGCATCCTTTGGACCCCATGTARGGGGAAGTACTTGCTGGAATGGGGGCTGCTCCAGGGATTTGGAGGCCCAAATCCAGGGGGAAGGAGCTGCCGTGGCTGGGATAGGGCTCSCTATCCCTGGCCTTCCCCTGGATAGGGAGAGGGGGGGTGTCCTGCCCAGGAGGGCCGGGTCCATCCGGGATGGGCTATGGAGCCACTAGAGAKGGCTTCTCCGGTGGGGATGGGGTTGGACTGGTTGGGTTGGGATTTGTCCCCAGCTGCACTGGGTGCCGCTTGTCCCCAGCGTGGACACGGATGGTCCCATCCTGCCCAGGGGCTCTGCAAGGARCTGGGGCTGCTCCGGGGGGTTTCCTGGGCATCCCGGGGGCTCCAGGACATCCCAGGGGCTCCTGGGCAGGCACCGGGATTCGTGCGTCACCCCTGGGGTGGCTGGCGCTGCCCGAATGCCACCGGGAGCTGCTGTCAATAACCGCAATTCCCCTTATCTGCCGTGTTTGCCGGAGGATTAGAGCTGGGATTAGCTTCCCTGCCAGCGGAGAGGGCAGCGGCCGTGCCCATGGAGCGCAGGGAACRGTGCAATCCCGGCTCGGCAGCGGCCGTGCCAACGGAGCATGGGAATGGTGCAATCCCAGCTCAGCAGCCGTGCGGATCGGGGGAGCTCCGGCTGCTCCGCATGTGGCCGGCGCTTCCCCAAGGCGGAGGCGTCGGAGCGTGGCCGGGCTGCCTGGAAGCGCGGGAAGGAGCGCTCGCTCCTGGGATCTGCTCCCGGTTATTTAAGAAGCTGCTTCAGGGAAGTCATTCCCGACTTACTGGCTTGAGCAAAACGGSCTGGCCTCGTCTTCCTGGCAGCGGAGGCTTCCCGAGCGCAACCCTTAGACTTTGACCAGGGGATCCTCATGGAAGCAAMGCTCTCCGCTGTGTCTCCAAGGGCTATTCCCATATTCCGGCGCTGAATCATCGCGGTGCGAGATCTCGCGCGTGGTCGACCCGCAGGGCGCCTCGTGCYGCGCTGCCCAGTGGGTTTTTCTCGGGAAAGCTGCTGCCCCCCTGGGATTCGCAGCAGCTGCCTTGGGGTTTGCTAATCTGCTCCGAGCCGCTTGCCCTGACTCGGAGTTTGCAGCTTTCCGGCCCTTCTGGAGCCGGGAGTGGGGAGCAGGGACAGGCCGGGGGTTTTAAAAGCCACCCCCAGATTCCCTTCCCTGCACTGGACTCCCTGCCTGGGCTGGAGATTCCCAGTTTCGGGATAGCGGCTGAGCTGAGCGGCRCAGGCAGCGGGTACAAGAGTGGGAGCGGAGTCCTGACATGCGCTGGACTCATCCGCGATGCTGGAATCTGCTCCGAGGGAGCCGTTCCCAGCCCCCACGCGCGCTTGGCTGCTGCTCCCTGCCCTGCCTGCTGGGACCTGAAAGCCGCGGCAGGAGGGGACGGACGTGTCCCCGCGCCGGAGCCCGCGCGCTCCTCCTGGCACCCTCAGCGCTTCCCCTTCTCGCTCCGCTGCCGCGGCGCTGCTCGGATATCCCCCGGTGCGGCCGCCCGGGCGCTGCTGGCGCCGCCGCAGAGCACCTGGGCTCGCGTCCCTGCCCTGTCCCTGCCCGGGGCTGGGATACCGGTGCTCCCGTTGCCCTGCGCCCGGCGTAGAGCCCTGGAGCGCCGAGGGCTGCGCTCCGCGCGGCGGCTACRTCCTTGTCCCGCTCTGGGCGCTGCCAGGACCGGGGCACGAATTTCCACGGGTGCCCGAGCGCAGTAGGGATGGAGAGGAGAGGGTGGGAGAGGACGCGGCCGCTCCGGAGGCGCCTGGAAGGGCCGGTGCCAGGCCGGCGGTGCGCGCCGCGGCGGTGCCCGCGGTGATGCCGCCTCCCGTGCAGCAGCTCCCGCGGGCGCTCCCGGGCGCACTCCTGCTGCTCCTGGTGGCGGCGGCGCTGGGCCGAGGCGGCAGGTGYGGCGTGGCCAGGATCCTGCGGCAGTACCGCGCCGTGCTCTTCCACGAAGTCCAGAACCTGGTGAGCAGCGGGAGCCTCTTCCCGGGGTGTTCCCGCCGGGAGCGCGGGATGGGCCGTGGGAGGGGGTCGTGTGCGTCGAAYGGGGTCCAGCCCTGTGCAAGGGCACGCTGCTTTGCTGCACATGATCCTGATCTTTTCCCGATTCGTTTTTCCAGAGAAACCTGAGCGCGTCGGCAGCCGGGAAGGGCCGAGCGGGCCCCGCGTGCCGCTCGCACAAGGTGAGCGGGGCTGGGGGGCGCGGGCTGAGCCCCAGCGAGCTCAGGACGGAGTGATCCCCCTCTCCCGCCCTGCCCCGCGCCGCCTGCCTCCTTCCTGCGCTTCCAGGACCAGAAGATCCTGCTCTCCATCTACAAGCTGAGCATGTCGCTGCGCGCCGCGGCGGGCGGCTCCCTGCGCGGCCCCGAGCGCCTGGCCGTGTGGAAGGTGGCCAGGAACACCGAGTCCGTCCTGCGGGAGAGCTGCGGCAAGGTCGGCAAGGTGGGACCCGCTCCAAGCCCCGTGCATTCCGGCGCGGTGCGGCGGGAAGGTCTGCACGGGCTCTGCGGTCCCGCCGGCTTCCAGCCACCCAGCCCTGGCCCGGAGCCGGCTGGAAGCCCCCGGACCTGCGGGCTTGTGCCAACCCGTGCCCTGCCCTCACACTGTGAGAGCTGCCTGCCTGGCCAGGAATGCTCCTGCCCCATGTGGACATTCCCTGTTCTGCTCCTGCATCCCAGTGCTCTGGGATGGGTGTGAGGGTGACAAGCCAGGGCTCCCCTGTGAGATTCTTGTGTCCTGGGGCTCCTCCAGGGTGGATTCACATCCAGGGGTTCCCCCATGAGGTTCTCATGTCCTGTGGCTCCCCCAGGATGGATTCACATCCAGGGACTTCCCCAGGATGTGTTCATGTCCCAGGGCTCCTGCATGGGGTTCTTGCATCCTGGGGCTCCCCAGGACGGGTTCTCAGGTCCCTGGGCTCCCCAACGAGGTTCTCGTGTCCTGGGGCTGGTGGGTAGCAGCGTCACCCACGGGCTGCAGCCGCCAGCAGCTCCCGAGCCGGGCGGGAAGCCCCGGAGGGGAATCTCGGGGGAGCCAGCGGGGTTGCAGGGCAGCCCCGCGCTGACACCCGCGTGCGCCGCAG